CACACACACACACAACACACACCACACCACACACACACACACACACACACACACACACACACACACACACACACACACTCACCACTCACACACACACGAACACACATCCTCTCGAGTAAAAATGTTGTTAATAGGGGAAACGTGAAAGGGACAGTCTACAGACTCATAAGGAGAAGGGAGGGGGACGTCCGACGTCAGAGGAAAATTGGGTGGGGCCTGGGAAGGGAAGAGATAAACATATATAAAAGTGATTCACGTTCAGTGGGGTACGGTTAGAGTAACCGTTGTTTTTTTTTCTTGTAGATCTTTTTCTCATAAATTTAACATCTGTTATGTTAATACTAGTGGTAATTTAGTCTCTTACGTTTTACACTCAACAAGTTTCACTTGTGAGCGGAGAATATATTATACCGAACCACAGGTAACTAAGGTACTTCTCTCGTATAATGTGGTCTCTCTCAGAGATCACCTAACGTCGTCCACACACACACACACACACACACACACACACACACACACACACACACACACACACACACACACACAATGCTGCTTTTCTGGGATTAGTCTCTCGCTCCCTCTCTTGTTTGTCCTTGCCCAGATGATGGTGATCTAGTAGTTGTCTGTGCACGTCCCTTTATAGTCTGCTCTTCTGTGGAAAGTCCCTGAGTCACTGTGCTGAATCCACTCACAGTGTGTAAAACATGCTAACATATTTTCTCTCAAGCTGTACATGTAGTTGTGTCTTCTTTTTTATTTGTGTATCTCTTTATATCTCACCAGACTTTTTGCTACGTCATTCCCTCCCTCTGTTTAATATGCTGTTTGTAATCCTCCCTCATTTTACAATCACTTTGTTCAATTGCTGTGTTCAAGAGTTCCTCTGGCTCTCCTTGCGCCTCATGCCTCCTCTTGTACTCCTCTTCCAGGTCGGGGGTCTCCAGTTGGAGGGTTGTAGTTTTGACGGTGTTCATCTCTGTGAGAATCAACACGACTCTCCCAGTGTGTCCGCGGTCCCGCCCTGCTATATGGCCTGGGTGGCACAGGTGTGTGTTTGTCTTTAAATCAGAAGCAAAAACAAAAATTAGAACAATTATAACAATAATATAAAATCTGATAAAAAAAAAACGAAATAAATACGTATACAAGAAAATGTAATATACAGTATGGTGTACGGTAGAAATATTTGTGGTTCTGTTAGATCGTTCTACAGTCTGATCGGTCATGTAACTTTGTGTGAATCCTAAAGGACGGTTTATCTATTTCATATGAAAGTAACAATTAAATAAGACGTATTCAGGATGAAGCCGTGGTCCATGGCAGAATACCAAACATGTGTGCTCTAACAGGGAATCTTTGGAGATACATTCATTGATTGGGTTGAAACCATCTATAATGTTCAGCTTTCTGGTTTTTCTGATGAGAATAACAAAACATATATATTTTGAATTAGACTTAAAATATGAGTTTTGAAATATACTGCATACAGTTATATATATTTAGATACTTATGTCTACTAGTTATATACATATGTGTTAATAATGGGCATCATTAGGCTCCAGCTGTAGAGGGAAGGCTGATAGTCTTTAAATAGACAAGACACATTTTTGGTCTTGTTTTAGTTGGCAGAAAGCCTAATGCGTACCGACCACATTTTTTGTTACATTATTTCAGGCAACATTATTTTGGACACTTGATAGCATGATCAGAATAGTGATGTTTTCTTTTGTTGGGTTAAACTAAGCAGCTTCTCTATGCCCACTTTGGGGGAAAGGTGCTGACCTCCTCACCTCACCTCAAGTGGCTTCAGAAAAGTTAAATCCAAGAATGTGCCACTTCAGTTAGTGTGTGTAACACATCTGTTTAATGCATGTTAACTACTTGCATTTTCCGTCATTTTGCATACACTCATTAATTGTTGTGTTCTGTGTTTGGTCCCAGAGCTCTGCTGCTGACTCGGCTGCTTCAGAGGAGAGCATCTGGCTGCCTCTGTACACGAGCTCAGAGAGGGTGAAGGTGGTCACACACATCTGCCTCCCCTGTGGAGTGAACCCTAACCAGTGGATTCAGACTGGAGCCGCTCTGTTCCTCAAACAACAGTGAAAGGAAGTAGGATACACACATAGAGACCCTAACAACAGAGGACTGTGTGAGCACTGGAAGCCTCAGGTGAAGATGATGTTGTCATGAAAGGCAGATATCACTGGGGAACAATTATTAACGCTGCAAAAATGTCAGGCTCCGACGCTGACACCATCGTTTTTTGAATGAAGTACCTTAGCTTGGAGACCAAAGATTAAAACAAGCAGTTACAGTATGCCACCATTTGCATTAGATGGTACAACAGAAGGGAAAACTGAATAACCGACTGAAGTGGTTTGCTTATAGGAACACTAATACTGGAATGTAAAGCCCGTTCTTCTCCTGACAGCTAAATGGAGCAGCAGTAACATAACATAATATTAATTGAACATCAAGTAATAACTTTTGATACCTCTGAATTATCCTAATGTTAGTCCCACTACAGATATCTTATACATTTCGTAAAATAGTGTTGAAATCTTATTTATCTTCTTACTTATCTTAAAAGTTATTTTGTGTACACATTTTGTGAAGAACAATATCAAATTTGATGTACTAAACTTAGGATTGAATGTTTGATTCATGGTTATTCTGTTTACTAAGTGTATTTTTGGACCATATTTATTCAAAATAAAGATGAAATTAAAGTCATTATTGCTGTCATTTTTAGTCTTAGTAGTCATTTACTTGCATCTTTCCAGCCATGTGGTCTCTCTTCTTATCTGATTTCAGTTCAGCATCTATTATCAGAGTTAAGAATAATACACAGAGGTGTGTGTGTGTGTGTGTGTGTGTGTGTGTGTGTGTGTGTGTGTGTGTGTGTGTGTGTGTGTGTGTGTGTGTGTGTGGGTGGGTGTGTTCAAGACCACACACTAGCAGTAGTCACGTTTGATCAACAGTAAACAGTATGAATCAAAGTTCACTCTGCGTGATCTGCCACTCACTCAATTCTGCTTAAACGGGCCCTACAGGCGTGAAACCCCTCACTGTCTTTTCCCAAAGCAAATTGTGCTTCTCTCTCTCACACACACACACACACACACACACACACACACACACACACACACACACACACACACACACCTACATTCACAAGCTCTCAGTTAGTCTCTAACCTCTGTGATTGGTTGAGGTAGAGTGGAGTCAGTGAAGCTGTGATGGATAGCCACAGAAGCGCGAGGGAGTGTGTAAGATGTTTGTGTGCGTTTGTGCATGAATGCAACCAAGAGCATCACATTTGATGGATGGCTTAATTAAGCATTTCTCCCTGTATCTGCCTTTTCCCGCCTTTGTGTTTATGCAGTTGTGCAGATGTATGGAGGATATCTGTGAGTGCACTCTTCTGTGAATGTGTGTTTTTGCGGAGATGGAGAGAAAGGCTTGAAATGAGGGGGGAGCGAGTATTGTGTGTGCACTGCAGTGTGACAAAATGGGAATGAAATGGAACAGCAGGTTTAAAAAAAAGAGAGAGGATTGGATTTCGGCGAAACACGGCCCTCTGGGTCAGAGAGCGAAAGAGAGACAGAGGGGCGGAGGCGAGGAAGAGAGAGACGGGAAGATGCAGGGGGTGAAGGAGCGAGAAAATGGCTATAAAACCCGTGTGAGAAAATTGTAGAGAAACAAGTTGTTAAGAATGAAGCCGAAGACGTTTGGAGGAGAGCGGGGTTAAAGTGGTGGAGTGGGTAGAGAGCGATCAGACAGATGTGCTATATGGAGAAATGAACACGAGGCAGTGATGGACAGTAACTAAGAACATTTACTCAATTTGACTACTTAAGTACATATTATACATATACATTTCAGAAGCACATTTTTTTACTTTTTACTCCACTATATTTATTTTACAGATGGATTCACTAGTTACTTTATAAATTCAAATTTTGACGCACAATACTTATTAAAATATAATTATTCGGTACAGATTAAACCATCCAACATTATATGTTAGCATCTAAACTCAGAGCGGGTTAAAAATGTATTGCCTATGTTTTTTGGTAAAAAATATTTCCCTGTACTTTTACTCTGAATACTCAAAGTACATTTCCTTAATTCATACTTAAATACTTTGACTTAAGTATCATTCATGATGCAGTACTTTTATTTGCAGTCTATTTTTACAGTGTGGTATTAGTACTCAATTAAATTACTTTAATATTTTTTCAGTACAGGAGGTCAGTGTGAAAGATCATATTTATCGTTTAGCTACACTACTGGGTTGATTTGATTGGTCTTCACCTTTTCAACAATACTAAATGACTGTTTATAAAATAAAAAATAAAACATTTGTAAGCATGCATATTTGGTATATTATTTAAATGTTTCTGCAGGTCAAATAAACTACAAACGTATAAACCTGATTATTTTTCCTGGAATTAAGAATCCACCAAAAGCTTCTTAAAATTCAACATTCATAAGAGTGAGTTTTGTTGCACAACTCTTCAATAAGTGTTGATTTGACTAATCCTGCAGCCCAAGGTCGAAATTAACATCGACATCGCAGCAAACAGAAACACATGCGTCGCCAGGAGCTTGTTTCCAAGGTAATGTGTTTACAGTTTGTCTTTATCTCAAATTAGCATGCCAGGTTTCAACTATTGTGATACTTTTCTGACTGATGACGTCCAGGAGCTGCATTAGGGAGAGAGACGTGCTTTATTCTGATCACAAACCCACACTATGTGAGTCATTTCAGAGCAATGACACGTCACAATGCCGCAAGAGTGCTGAAATTTAAATAATCATATGTTTTGGTTTGTCAGTAAAATTGTCTGTTTCCTTTTTATTCCTTTTATTAGGAAACATAATCAATTCCATATGGACAGTCACTGAAATTGCTGGTTAAACTGTCAATTGTCGTAATGCATTATGTTCATCTGTTTTCTCCTTTTGTCTGCAATTTGTCTGGATCTTACAAAGCCGATTTTGTCAATGGGAATGACTAGAGAAATAATTTTATCACAGAATTTGTGCTTACGGTTTCAAATCAATCTCTACTGCTTCCTCCATTCTCCGACCTACGTATGTGACCCTCCTTCAATTCATCCACAACTTCCTCCATTCTCTCTTCCATGACGTCCACCATGCAGTGTTTGGATTTACTCTTCTGTTTAACCAACAATGCAATACAATGCTTGTGTAAAGCTTAAATGTGAGACATAAACATTTGTATCTGATAATCTATCCAACAAACATATAAGTAACATGTAGTCCAAATAAATACTATAAAGCATGCCGGTATAAACAGATCAGAATCAGGCATTTTGTTTGTTTTCCTATCCGTTAGATTTATAATCACTCATTCAACAACATCAAGTCCTGACACAGCTTGTCTAAATCGTCAGATCTTGGTATTTTAACTTTTGGCACCAAGCATGCTAACTAGGCCAACATCTGGTGAATTCCCATAAAGCAAGAGTGGAAAATGTGTTTGGTTCCCGCATGAGCGAGATTTCTCATTTGGGTTTCCGGATTGAAAATGTTAATTACTGCTGCCTCCGACTTTAGCCATGTTTCAGAGAGAGAACCACAGAAACCTCAGAAGTGCTACAGCCATCTGCATGTGTGAGTGCAGAATTCACTAAGAATGCAAATAGTATTAGCATATCTGCAGGAATAAAATTGACACCATTTGCAGTTTTTATCTGATCAATGTGCTCTATTTATAGTATGCATAATGATGTTTTTTTCTCACTATACACCGAGTGGGTTGTTCAGGGATTCTGAAAGGCTTTGAGGCTTGAACCCGGTCGGGGGGGCAGCTGGTGATGACCCCTCTGGTCTCTCCCACTGCTTCACTCTGTGTGAGATTTGATCCTTTCACTGTGCGGTCTTCCCAATAAACACCCTGGATTACAAAAGATGTCAAAGTATGTCCTTCACGGGTAGGAGGGTTTTAAGAGTAAGAGGTGAGAGGACATCATGGATAGGATTCTCAGGAGGAAGAGGATGGAAAAGGGAGCGGAGTGGAGGAGGGGCGAGAAGCAGATCTTCACTGGCTGGAGCGGGCAAAGTGATGAAGAGGACAAACAAGATCAACCCGGTTTCCAGCAGGTTTGATTGACACAGAGATCAGGGCCATTGACCCTCATTTACTCAGTAAAACGTGGATTGTATAATGCTGGGATAGCTGGTTACCATGTATATGTTGCCACATGAAATTGCAGCAATCTACCTACATCAAATGATAGTGATTGTGGTGTTTTAGATTTCTCCTGCTGTAAATTAATCACATGAAAAACTAAAATCAACAGATAATATTTTCTTTTTACAAAATAAAACTATATTGTTGACCAATTGGTACGTGTTAATATATCAGGTAGCGAATGGGCTTTGGTCTGAAAACCAAAGACAAACTGGCAATGGACTAAAATACTGCTATTATCAATATTGTAATGGGATTTGCGATATTAAATAAAGTCAAGCATATTGCTACCGTCCTCATTTTAAAATTGCTGATAAGCAAAACATTACACACACACACACACCCACACACACACACCTCCCTTCCCCCCCACTCCCATTGCTCCCCGGGCGCTGTACAATAGCTGCCCACTGCTCCTATACTAGACTCCTGGTACTAGGATGGGTTAAAAGCAGAGGCCAAATGTGACTGTGTGTGCTGTGTGCTCTGCATGTGTGACCATTAAAGAGGGGTTCATCCCTCCCAATTATATTCTATTATATTCTGCACACACACACACACACACACACACACACACACACACACACACACACACTTTATTGACACTTCATGTAAAGAAGCTACAGAGCTATATCCTTGTATTAGACATGTATACAGTATGCTATCCAATTAAAGTACACATAATGTGTTGTAAACATTGTTATATAATGTTTTTTTGTGATAAACATTAAATTACAAACAAACATATACACATAAATCAAGGTTGGAGCTTATTTTCGGACATGCTGCAATTATATACATAGATTCTTTCCTTGCTATTGACATTAGTGCATACAAGGTTAATTGATCTCATCAAAGTGACGCAGCAAGTTTGGCCTTCCATCCTTCCATCTCTGATCTGACATATTAAAGCACTACCCAACATTGCCTCTGTGATATCTATGATTGTTCCATCCTCTAATGAACCCTCCTTATGGCAGCTCTGTCCTCTGAGAATATAGATCTTAATAACACGATGTATGAAATAAAGGCAAGTGGTCAGCCGTTGCCTGAGCCAGGATTAAACCATCCTCATCTGTCCATTACAATATATGATCCCCAATGAACATTACAATAATTGAAGAGCATTTTTACCCACACTGAAAAGATGGAATGTCCAAATAGT